CCAGTAGGGAGTGTGCAAGAAGCAGCTGATCGATGATTCTCTCTCATCGATGTTTCTAACTCTCTGTCTCTCTTCCTCTCTGTAAAAAATCAATAAAATATATATATATTTTAAATTTCTTATTTAAAGACATAGATGTTAAAAGACATCTATATTCCTATTTAGCCCTATTTAATCTGTCTTTGCCTAAATTGCATATTGTCACCCATGAATGATCTGCTGTAATTATTCTTCCTTATAAGCAGTAGCTGCCTTAATGGTAAGGACATGAATGTTGAAAGTACTAGGCAGAATTAAATATTTGCTTACTCTCCCCTGTTTTTAATTTGGTGAGAGGGAGAAAGATGATTAGGTAGATGAAGAAAAAGTTTTAAAGAAAGAACATCCAGTACCAGCTTTCTTGGTAAGATCTCTAATTGTTCAGAGACCCCTGGGATATCAGCACATGTTTTCTCAAACAGGCCATAGGATGTATGAAATCTCAGTTACTGAAAGACCATTGCTATCTATTTTCTTTCCCTTTGCTTTCATAAGAGATTTAATGCTCTTCTCACTCTTTTATCCATAGGGAAAATATTGGGGAGAGGATCTATTGTTGTTTCCCTTGTCTTTCCTTATTTATTAACTTTTTCCTTCTTTTATCCCTTTCCGTTCCCTGTTTGACATTGATTTCTTCTACCAAATAATTTACATTTATACCTCTTTTATACTGGTTTCTGGTACAGAAGAGGTGGAGATGAAAAGAGTAACAGATGTACTATAGAGCATTGGTTCCCAAACATGGCTGATCTTGAGAATAACATGAGGTGCTTTAGAGATCTGCAGATTCCTGACCTATTTCAGGGACTGACCCAGTGGAGCTAGGATGGACCTAGGAATCTGTATGTATACAAAGCTTTCCAGCTGATTGCAATAATCAGGCAGACTTGGGAACTGTTCTTTTTAATATTTGTAGGAGGAAATTGGCACTTTATTTTTTTGTTTGAAAATCTAAAAATTTTATGCAGAAAATGCATATGAACAAGAGCTTTTAAATAAACTTGTGGAAATGCCAGGATTTAGAATTTGAAACTTTTGTTTAGTTAAAACTATTATAGATCTAAAATGAGAATCCAATAGAAATTGTTTGAATTTATCTACAGAAATAACCCGATGGGCCAAAAATTTTGTTTGGGTGTCCAAAGCATTTTAAGTGGCATTGTTTTTTGCTTTTTGTTCTTCTTTTGAAAAAGGAAACCATATTTACTGCAAACAGCTCAATGTAAATACAGCATGGTTGTGAAGTCAGCACTGCTGTGGAACCGAGGGCTGTGAGGCTGCCCAGGGCAGGTCCCTGAGGCCAGGACCGTCTTCTGCTAGGCAGCTCCACCAGAGTCTGAACCAGCCTGCGCTGGTCTCCCCCACTGTTCTGCTCCCAGAGATGTCTTTTGGTGTTTCAGCTCCAGTTGGGGAAAGTGTGTTCTGTTTTTTTGCTCGTTAAGAAAGAATTCAGGACTATGAATTTCTCTGAGAGTGTAACTTTGGACGTATTCCATGGGTTTTAGCATCTAGTTTATTCTTCATTATTTATTTGTAATTAATAGTTTTTGGAATATTCTATTTAATACAAGAGTTAAAATCCAGATTTTTAAATTCTTTTTATCCAACTTTTGTTTATTAATTTATTGGTTTCTTTGCATTTTTAAAAATTCCCTTTCTTTTGTAGTTTTATGATTTTTGTGAAAAGGAAAACAGTGCAAAATTCATCATTTTTATCAAAGTCCAATCTTATCAAAGTCCAATCTTTGTCATGGACTTTTTTTAGATTAATTTGATTCAAATGAGCTAAATATTAATTAACATAGAGTACCAAGTTAAAGCTTAGAAATTAAATCAAGAAAATAAATATTAATTCTAATATAATGTGTTTTGTTTTTAAAAAATTATATTATTGACTTCAGAGAGGAAAAGAGAGGGAGAGATAGAAATATCAATGATGAGAGAGAATCATTGATGGATGCCTCCTGCATGCCCCCTACTTGAGATCGAGCCCACAACCCAGGAATGTGCCTTTGACCAGAATTTAACCTAGGACCCTTCAGTCTGCAGGCCAACATTTTATCCACTGAGCCAGATCGGCTAGGGCTTTCTTGCTGTTTTCAACCTGTATTTGGACAGTTGTATATTCTAAGCCTTTGATAAATCTAAATATCTTTGCTCAGTTATTTGGCCATTAACTTTTTAATAATTTTGGTTGTATGGTAGAAAAATATACAATATATAAAATAACTTCAGCAAAATGTCAGTGAATTTGGTGTAAAGAACATTCCTAGGATAACTGGTAAAATTTGAAAATGAACTCTGTGTTAGGTTAGTAGTATTGTCCCAGTGATAAATGTTCTGAATACAATAATTGTTTTCATGGATCTGTAGGAGATACATGTTCATATATTTAATAGTAAGGTGATGCTGCAGTGAACTGTCAAATTATTCAGGAATATGTGTGTCTGTGTGTGTGTGTGTGTGTGTGTGTGTGTGTGCGCGCGCGCGCACGCGCGTAAGTATATGTATATCTCTATATAGAGGCATAACTGTATATCTGTATGAAGAGTCAGAGAAGGAAGCCTAAAAAAATGAGGTTGAATGTTAATAGTTTGTACATTTACTTAAAAGGTATATTATATTGATGTTCATTCTTACACTTTCTTGTCATTTAAAAATATTTCAAAATAATCATTTGAGAGTGGTAAATAGGACTATATGTTATTGAGTGTTTGGGATCTGTTATCAAGGAGGTATTGACAAGTTTATTTTATGGTTTTAATTACACATAAATATTAATATTTACTTGTGTAGTTGAGTATGATTACTTACAGCAGGCTTCTTTAGATGTTTTTCAAAAATCAGAAAACTATCTTGAGATGCTTATTTTAGTTCTAAATATTTAATAAGTTGTAAAACAGCTTAATGATACCTTGACTAGATGGAACTTAAGTTGGTTTGATATAGTACAATACTTTAAACTTTTTGGAAAATTAGAGTTCCTGATAAATATATTTCTCATAAAATTAAAAAACATTAGTCTATTAAGAGTTCTGCGAAATAATTGAGTAAAATAGAGTATTTCTTTTGCAGATTGACTCTTGATATTTTTCTGATCAGTGGGAATACCATTGTGTGATATTTTTTATTACAAGATTTCCTATGTTTTTCTTTATACTTATTCATCATTACATATTTTTTAAATCAAGAAGTAATTTTTATATTGTCTAATAACTTTTGGAGATCTTTTCTTTCCTGTCTAGACTAGCTCTAATACTGTGCTGTTAACTACAAATTGAAATCTTCATTGCTGATATCTAGATCTGCTTCATCGAGGAACATAGAGTTTCTTTTAACCATTTTTTTTTTTAAATATTTTAATGTTTTTATAATCATTTTTGTGGAGTTTAATTTGGCAATTTATGAGACAGTAATTTAAAGTAAAACATGAGTTTTGGTTGTTAAAAATAAACAGTTTACACTTTAAATGTTTAATATTGTATAGTTCTTGGTGATTTTTGCTTTGGCATTTACGGAATAGGAATGCTGAAACTTTCTACCACCAATATCCTCTGGATTAGTGATCTGGAGTGAGCTTAACCACCAGCAAAAGTGAGGTTTGCAATGGAAGAGAGTAACATCTCTGAGTTAAAGCTGTATGAACTGTTACCTAAATTAATTACCCTTGTGGGCTTACAGCTAAAGAAATGGGTTTTTTCACACACACTGTAGACCAATGACAATAGGAAGATTAAAATATTACTTATTGTTAAAGAGTATTTTTCAGATTGTGCAAGTTTTCATCTGTTCCTTACCTCAAAAAAATACTGAAGAGGGCAACTAAAGTGGCAAAAGAGATTTTACGTCTTTTCTACATTAAGTGAACAGAAACCATTTTAGAGATCTGAAGGCTAAGCATAGGTTATAAATAGTACATTAAATAAATATGTTAACAAACTGATTTCAAGTTAATAATCTACAGGGTGGGGCAAAATAGATATACAGTTGTTTGTATGAAAAATAATATAATAATTAATAAATAATAATAATACAAGAATAAATTCTGTGTTTTGTGTGCTCACAGCTATATACCTACTTTTGCCCCAGACAGTATATAGAACTCTTTTAAGTGGATACCCTTTAAATCCTGAAAGCTTTCTTTTGTTTTTAATTGATTTTTAGAGATTGGCTGCCTTCTGCACACCCCATACTGGGGATCAAGCCTACAACTCAGGCGTGTGCCCTAACCAGGAAATAAACTAGCAACCTTTTGGTGCATGGGACAATACCAGCCAACTGAGCCACACCGGCCAGGGCTAAATCCTGAAAGCTAATTATTTTAACAAAGGATAGTAATAACTTTATGAAGTAATGACCACAATTTTGTACTAGTTATACATATACAAAAAGGTTCAAAAGATGAATTCAAAGAAATATTGGAGTTGGGTTATATGCCTAATTTTTAAAAATTCATCATATAAAATAAATATGGCCTCCTCCAAAACATCTATTGTGGTTATTAATGTTGTGACCCAGATTTTTTTTTTTTTTTAATACTTACCGAAGGATGTGTTAATTGACCTTAGAGAGGAAGGGAAAGAGAGAAACATCAATTGGCTGTCTCCTATACATGCCCTGACGAGATCAAACTCACAACCTAATTGTATGCTCTGACCTGGAGTCGAACCTGCCTTCTTTTGGTGTATGGGATGATGCTCCAACCAAACCAGGGCAGATGGACATCTCTTGATTGTTCAAAGCCCATATACTATTCTGTAAATACTTGAAGTTGTTTTCAAGTGCTATGTTCTGTGAAATAAACTTGAAAGGCTGATTTTAATTTAATGATTTTGCAAACATTTGATGATGAATCACTATAAATATTTTAAATAATAAGTAGTATGCACATATATTAAAATTGAAACGAAAACTTCACAGACATCCATTACTATATGTGATACATTCTGATATATATTCTCCTATTTAAATAAACACTGGTAATGAAACTCTGATTTGTACAACTATTAACAGGTTGTGAGCTGTATTTAGCTTGAAAGTAAAACAAATGAGAGGGCAGTGGTCTCACAAGCCGCAGTTTGCCGCTCTGATGACTAATGAGTTTGCCATCCACTGAGACAGGGCATCATTGGGACCTGTATGCACACACTGTAGACCAATGACAATAGGAAGATTAAAATATTACTTATTGTTAAAGAATATTTTTCAGATTGTGCAAGTTTTCATCTGCAAAAGTCCTTTATGAGGACTTTATGTGAATCAGCATTCAACTAAATTTTTTTAATACAGTAGAATTCTTATTTATAACTCAATAACTTTATTAGGACATCTATTGCAAGTATGAGAAAAATCTAGAAGTAGATTAAAGGCAATACAAATAAAATCAGTAATTATAAAAGAAAATATTTTTTAACACTGAAAATTTTTATTTTGACCATGTTATTTATTTTGAAAAATAATATAGTAACAACCATTGCACATTACTGTGTAAAGTTAACACAAAGATTTGAACTTGCTGTTTCAAAACACTTTTTACTTTTGCATCTTTGTAATTTTTTTTAATCTTTGTAATTTTAAGTTGTGTTTATCATGTATTTATTTTCTATCCTAATTTCTGTTTTGGTTAAAGATATAAACAGCAAGTTTTTGTGTTTCAATTCCTAAAAATGTTGGGATGGAATTACAGTAATGTGTTATGGCTTGGGCCCCTCGCAGGAGTGTATCTCGCAGTCAGCAGTGAAAACAAAGTTTGAACAGCACACTATCAGAGCTAAACAGATATTAGATACTGTGCAAGACATAATGGATTCAATAAACGTGGCAGCAGCAGAGAAAAGGTATGAATGCATTTATTGCAAAATGTGTGTTTTTGTATCAAGATGAATTCCTTAAACTAGGATTTGAAATTGTTACATTATAAATTTCCTACTAAAATCAACCTTGTGAGTTTAACTAGTGCCCACTTGCATGTTTTTAAATGAATATTAAATGTAAATATTATGTTTATTTGTTGTACACATCATTTGCATTCCCTGGATCTCAGCATTGTATAGGGCTTGTATTTTTAAAATGTTTAGTGGCTTTAAAATATCTGTAAAGCAGTGGAAGAAGCATTTCTTCAAGCTAAATTTTTTTAAAACAAGTGCAAAGCAGGTAACCTTTTTTATGTTCAACCCGTGATCCATCTTTTGTATATTCATACATTGATTCCTTGAAATCATTTCTTTTGTGCCAGTGGTTGTCTTTTTATCAGCTGGCAAACAAACAAGGTAATATTATCTGCCAGGCAGAAAGTCAGTTTGGAAAACACTACTCTCTCTGTCACACTGTACTGCACGATTTTATTCCATTTATTACTTTATAAAAATGAAAATGAATGCATGAAAATGGCAGAAATATAAAAGAAAAAGGTAGTTGTCACAACCTTGGTACACTTGAAACAATGATCAGGATGTTATTAGATGTGACAAATATAACGATGGTAAGTCTCAATTGAACCTTTAGTGAGTTTAAGCCAATCAAAAGAAAGATATAAAGCATTAAAGGTTAAGTCCAAGATGACATATAATTGGGAATTTTAAGTGTATTTGATGTTGCTAGGAACAACTCCTCTGATGTCTAAATCTATTGCATAATTTTGACAGGTTTGCAGGAATGTATTATCTAAAAAATTAGGGAATTTCCAGCATATAAAACAAAGGGGTGAGACTCCAGAATCTGATCTCAGGCTCTGGGCACTTTTCTGTATAATGATATTATATTCCCATTTATGTTCCTTTCAGCTCAGTAGCTTTTATTTAATTGCCAAAGTAGTCAATCCACTCAATTGACCTTACTAATTTTTTAACAATATAGGAAATTGAACTAAACATGACACAAAGAATGTGTGATTTGAGGATGGTTTGTATAAACATAATGTCTTAGATACTTATTAAAGATTATCTTAAAAGGATCTCGGGTCTTTTTTCCCCTACATCATCTACAGGTTAACAAATTTTGTATAAAGGCCAGAGAGAAAATATTCTAGGCTTTGTGGGCCATTCCATCTCTTACAACTACTCAGTTCTGCAGTTTTAGAGCAAAAGCAGGCATTTAGGTAATAGGTACAGACAGTCCTTGGGTTACTTCGGACTCGAGGTACATCGTTTCATGGTTACGTCTCCATTATTTAAAAAAAAAAAAAAGTTCTGTCATTTCAACGTATGTACATATTGTGCTTTATGTTTTTTATTATTTACCACAAGTAAAGATCAGGAATTACCTTTTAAAAAAATTTTTTTTTTACTGTTTCGCTTCATTACTGTTGTGTATGTACTCCATGTGATGCTTATGTGGGTTCTGACTTACAGCGAAAATTGGGTTACCTCATGCTGTAGGAACAGATCTCTGATGTAACCCGAGGACCTACTATACATGAATGAGCATAACTATATTCCAGGAAAACTTTAAAGAACTAAGCAGCTGCTGGATTTGGCTTATAGGATGCCGTTAGATAGCCCTTATTTGTTATATAAAGACAGTATTGAGTTCTGTTCATATAAGTGTTTGCAGGCTTAGAATTCTTACTAATCCTTTGGTGGGACTTAGGTGACACATGGGCAGAGAGACAAAGTAAAATTATATCCAGTCATTTATAAAATATTTTATAAGTGAAATATAGTTTGAATCCTTTTCAGTGTTAGAATATGAGATTTTTTTTCTTTTATCATGCTAACAGATGATTCATTACATAACTGAGTGCCCTTGCTGAATTGCTTTGAGACTTTAATATTCCCTGATTATTAATTACTCTTCATACCATAATAGAGTTTATTCGATGGAAGAGAGGGAAGACCACATTGATAGACTGGACTTTATCCGAAATCAGATGAACCTCTTGACACTGGACGTTAAGAAGAAAATCAGGGAGGTTACAGAGGAGGTGGCAAACAAGGTGGGTAACAGTAATTTTATGACTGAAATATTTTTGATGATGCTAAAAATGTTATCCCTGTTGCCTTAAAGGAATATTTTGTGTTGCGTTTTTTTGTTTGTTTGTTTGTTCAGTTTGGTTTTTTGAATGGTTGATGATCTTGTTCAATTTTTTTACTCTGATTTTTTTTCTCTCCATATTTTCAGGTTTCATGTGCAATGACAGATGAAATATGTCGACTTTCTGTTTTGGTTGATGAATTTTGTTCTGAGTTTCATCCTACTCCAAGTGTGTTGAAAGTATATAAAAATGTAAGTTAAATTGTAGTTAATACATATATTATAGTTCTCTCACTGTATTCTACACTCTTATGTAGTGGTTTGTCTATATTGGTGTCTTTATGACAGTCAGTACTCAACTAACCTGTTAACATCTACTGTTAACTCTTGTAATAAATGTAAACTACCTTGTATAGAAAGTATACAGAAAAGTTATTCTCTTAGAATAAGATTATTTTAGTGCTAACTAAATTTCTTATGTTTTTATAAAACTGCTTATATTCTAGAGGAAAGATAATGTGGACATTTACTGTTTTTAACAGGAGTTAAATAAGCACATAGAAGATGGGATGGGAAGAAATTTGGCTGATAGGTGCACCAGTGAAGTCAACGCTTCAATGCTTCAATCCCAGCAAGAAATTATTGGTAATATTTGTCAACAAGTTCTTTATTTTGTTGGTAAAGGATTTATTTTCCTTTAGATATTTTACAAAATGTAAAACATTATTTACTGTTGTTTTTTAAAGTAAATGTCCTACTTTTGTTCTTTCTAGAAAATTTGAAACCGTTACTTCCTTCTGATGTACAGAATAAACTACATACACTGGTTCCTTGCAAGAAATTTGATCTCAGCTATGACCTAAATTGCCACATGTTGTGTTCAGACTTTCAAGAAGATATTGTATTTCGTTTTTCCTTGGGCTGGTCTTCCCTTGTCCATCGTTTCTTGGGTCCTACGAATGCACAGAGGGTGCTTCTAGGATTATCCGAGCCTGTCTTTCAGGTACAGAATTTTGCTTTGTTTTTATTGTTTGAAGTAGTCTTTTTATCAGGTGTTTATTGCTGTACTGCTACACAGATATGTGGCTTTGATTCTACTAGTTGAGATTCACCTTTTTTGTGTGTTTCGTTTTTGTGGAGGTTTTTATTTTAGTTAATCCCTGAGGATATTTCTTCCATTGATTTTTAGAGACAGTGGAAAGGAGTTAGGGAAGGATGGGGGGAGAGAGAGAGATCTATTGGTTGCCTCCCATACTTGCCCAACCCAGACCAGGGATCAAACCTGAAACCAGATACTTGTCCTGGACTAGGAATCCAACCCTTGACCTTTGAGTGAGCAGGCTGATGCTCTAATCCCACTGGCCAGTGCACTCTTTTTCTTTCTATACGTAGACATCTGTTTTCACTTCTCGAGTATATATCTGGTGGTGAAATTGCTATACCAAAGGCAAATATGTTTAACTTTCTGAAGAACTGCCAAAATGGCTTCATTTTACATTCCCATCAACAACATGTTAAGGTTCTGTTTCTCAACATTCTCACCCAGATTTGTTATTATCTGTCTTTTTTATTCCTAGAGTATGTGAAGTGGTATCTCATTGTAGTTTTGATTATATTGATTTTGAACATCTTTTCATGTGCTTTTTTCCCCATGTGTTTTTAGCCATTCACGTATCTTGCTTTATAAAATGTCTATTCAAATCACAGCCTAATTTTTAATTAGGTTGTTGGCTTCTAATTGACTTGTAGGAGATCTTTATTTATTCTAGATACAGGTCCTTTATCAGATATACAGTTTCTAAATATACTCTTCCAATTTGTGGCTTATCTTTGAACTTTCTTATAATGTATTTTTGTTTATTTTCTTAATCCTCACCTGACATATATTTATTTTAGAGAGAGAAAGGGAGTGAGGGTGAGGAGAGAGAGAACATCAATGTGATTGGTTGTCTCCTGTAAGCACCCAGACCAGGAATCAAACCCTCAATTTTTTGGTGTATAGGACAATACTCCAACCAACTGAGCCACTTGTGATTATTTTATTTATTTTTTATTTTTGTTAACCCTCACCGAGGATATTCCATTGATTTTTAGAGACAGTGGGGGCGGGAGACAGAGAGATAGAAGTATTGATGTGAGAGAGAGAGACATCAATTGGCTGCCTCCTATATGTACCCCAATTGGAATCAAACCCTGCATCAGAGGTTTGTGCTTTGACCGGAATTAAACCTGGGACCCTTCAGTCTGCAGGCCAACACTCTAACCACTTTGGCAAACTAGGCAGGATTTAATTTGAAGGACTATTGTTACAGATAAACTCATTGTATATTATGAAAATTTATTATTCTTTAC